AAACTTTTTTTTGGGGGGGGGGGGAAGACTCTTGAAACCCTCATAGATATTTTCTACTCAAAAAACAAATACTTTGTAAATAATTTTTTGCCACTTGGATAAAAAATCGCGTATTTCATCCTAACTAATTAGGAAATAAAGGTTTTGGTAAATGACGTTACATTGGAGGATATGAATTTCAATTTCTAAACTTCAACACTTAAAAAAGGAGCTAACTTTATAGCTATCAGTTATCAGTAGAGTACAGTATCTCCCAACTGATAGTGCAATACCATTAACATAAAATCCAGATTCGTAAAGTTGAAAATAAATCTATAACTATAGGTTTATAACGCTACAGAAACTGATGTTACGCACTTCCAATATTAATTTTCAGGACTTACTTTTTTTGAAAAGAATTGGCATGGGCTATTTGAGGCATAGGTAGGAGAGATAAATTATGAAATACCATCAGTCTATCATTGTGCATGGTAAGAAATTATTAAGAAAAGTTTACGTTTTTGGTTAAACTGACGTTCAATTGGAGGATAAATTACAATAATGCAATTTTCTTTATCAGAAAATAGGAGGAGCCTAATGTTATGTATATCAGCAGTATGTCCCAACTAATAATTCAATACCATAAATTATTAAAACCAAGTGTATAAATTTGTAAAAGGTAATTTTAAGTATATAACATATAGTCTAAATTTACATAAATTATCCAAATTTCTGCAGCCATTATGAAAAACAAAAATGGTCATCTACTTTCAAGCAGAATATATCTTCAGAAATGTCAACTCACGCACTATATAGTCAAATATAATTTATTTTACAAAATCATTTTGAATTGTTTATGTTCATGTCCTATTTTACATGGAATTACCCACCCAGTATATTTTGTCAGTTTATATTCATCCACAACTGGGTGTAATATTTAGTTAATTTCAACAACGAACCCTATTCTTTGACCAAAAATTTTTAATGTGTTGTGAATGGAAATTCCCCAAATTTATCTGTATGGTGCATTCATGTTTTGTTTTGTTATTGAATCCAATTTCAATTTTTCACATAAGCAAAATAATACAAAAGGTGGCCAGGAAATAGCTACTAATCAAACTTGTCCCCTCTTATCTACAATCGTTTATAAAATTAACACACTTAAATATCATAAATATAAATTAATAAATAAATAAATAAAAATAAATAAATAAAAAATAAAAATAACGAAAATTGAAATTTAATGGCATCATTCAAATACATTGTGATGTAATTCTTTTAAGGTTGAACAGAGAAGACATGCAATGAGCTGTTCATTCTTACTGTTAACTTGACAGGAAGTTTATTCCACATAATAACACCCGAGAAAGCAATTCTAAATTGACCAGAATTAATATGACATATAGGGATGGCTAAATTAAAACCATTGTTAAATCTTGAATTATACTTATGATCAGTAATATCAAAATAATCATGTAAATCATGAGGTAATCTTTTATAAAATAGATTGGAAATAAATTTAGAAACACTTAAGTTGTGAAACTTAGGTACATCTAATATTTTAAGAGAGTAAAATAAGGGCGAAGAATGCGAGCTCTGAAATGAGAGAAAGTCATGCATCTAGAGCACACACATTTTGCGTAACTAAAAGAGGTTTGAAGTAAAGTTTCGTAGGTGCTGCCCCATATCTCAATGCCGCAAGTCAAATAAGGTTAGATGAAAGCATTGTAAATCATGGTTAAAACAATTTCGGGAAAGCAATGCCGTAGTTTAAATAAAATGCCTACTGCTCATTTCTTAAGTTTATTATTCAATTCATTAATGTATTCTTTATATAAGAGAAAATTGTCCAAAATAATACCAATAAAGGGAAATGAATCCATTTTAGAAATTGAATTTATCATTGATCTCGATTTATCAATATATAATATTTTTATTTCTGGAACGAAAAATGATAAATTTAGTTTTTTCAGTATTAACTGCTAATTTGTTGGCATTGCACCAGTCTATTACCTTCTGGAAGTGGACATTGGCTTTGTCAAGATCTAACATATTACCAACTAAAGGTTTAAATAAGTTTGAATCATCAGCAAAAAGCCTAAAATTTAAAAAAATCAGTAGAATTTAGTAGATCATTAAAATAGATCAAAAATAAAATAACACCTAGTACCGATCCCTGAGGAACACCGCATTGGATAGCTAGCTTATTGGATTTAAAATTATTAAGAAGATACAAACTGAAAACTGTTACTAAGATAGTCAGAGATCCAATGCAAAGGGCGATCCCTCACTCCATAATGACTTAATTTACAAAACGCTTTAGAAAAATCAATGAAAATTCCAAGGACACATTTTGAGATCTAAATGGAGTTGATGATTATTAATTAGATTTATTATAAAGAAAGGTTTGTACTAAATTTTTTCCTGAACCCGAATTGGTGTTTAAAAAATCAATTAAATTCTAGATAGTTTATCTGATGAGCAATGATACGCGCCCACAGGTTGTTTCTGAGGGAGCCAGGGACGAATATATTTATCAAAATCGGGTTAACATTCTAGCGTTTATAACTTCTTTGCTATACATTGTAGAACCACAGACTCAACGACTGGTAGTTCGGGGGAAGATACACCTAGATGATAACATACAGATGACGTATGTAATGTTGTGTTATCTTGCCGGTAGTACACTCGAGCGGTACAAGTGGGGCACCCTTTGAACATATACCAACCCATGCAAAAAGACAATAAAACGTGTAATCAGAGTGCTGTCAACAAATTTTGATCGCCCCCTAATATTTTACCGCCAATTTATTCGACACATCATTTTGATGATATATGACTGGATTAAATTTCAAAAAAGTATGTTTGAATATGTAAACTTGTTTTGGCACACAGGAAGGAACCTTAAAAATGGTCTGGCGGTCAACGTTTATATTGCACTGAAACCAATTTTATTGTGTTAATTGATATATTTTTCATATCTAGTTTTGGTATTATGTTAACTTGAGCACCAAAATCTTCTATTTGAGTCTTTTTGACCATGTATTTATACATTGAGGTAGGCCTATGTCTATAATATATAATGGTAATTAGTTACTTGTAATTAATTAATTAATTAAATTATTATTTAATTAAATTGTCCTTGTATGCTTTCAAATGCTTTTTATTTTATCAAAATATGTCTAAAAACAAAAAAGATAAAGCAGTTTTTGATCATTTTTCAAGAAAAAGGTCACATATTTTTCTATTGTTTACATTGGTTTTGGAGGGCCAAAATAAAGCATAATTAATAATTACTTAAATTCTGTAAATTTGAGGCTGATATTTGATGGGAGAGCAATAATCTTGGTATCAATGTAATGCTACATTAAGGCTCTTTCAAATGATACTAGTTGCAAAGGAATTCCTTGCATTTGAAATTTGTTGTCACATACATACAATATGGTGGCAATTAGTTGAAAAAATATAAAATGCTTATAAATAGTTCTTAAATTTAGTTAAGTGAGATAGTGAAGTTTAATCTGTTCATTATGAATTCATCGAGCGTTGGTGTATGTAGTAACCAGTATTTAAGAATATTTGTGTAGTTGCTAAACCTACGGTCAGCAACCTTTTACTCCTTAGGACCCAGAATTTATTTATTGCTATAGCTTCCCACGACCCAAGACCTCCGGTTATCGTAAAATTTTCAAAAAATTATACAAAATATACGGCAAATATAATACAGTAGACCCCATTGGGATACCTTCATAATGAAAACTTGAGATATCTGCTCACTGAACGGTTCACTGCAAACCTTAACACAGTAAATGAGTCAAAACAGGACCCCCTTTTTTTTCACAAAATCGACTATATTAATTTGAATGGTTTCATTTTACAATCTTGGGCGATCAGACTATAAAACTAGATGTTTTAAACTTTATAATCATCTATATATTATTCTTACAGTTAATGCAAAATTAAGTAATCATTTTTCTTTCAAAGTTGACTACCTCTTATGCTTTTGCATAGGAAAAAGTTTAAAATTAGAGTGTTTTTTTCTACACTTCCTGTTTCTTTTTACCATAACTCTGCAACGACAGGTTGCTAGACTTCGGGGTGAACGGTCAATTGTAGCTCAAAGTCCCATGCTAGTTGCTTAATTTTTCTTTAAAATTTTGTATTCAGAACTGTTTTTACCCTCTCTATGAATGATGTCACGCGCTTAAGGCCAATATCAGCTATGAATTTCAAGTTTTCTGCGGTTAGTGCTTTCATGTAAAAGATGTAGGTCAAATTTACCTGAATGAGCTTTTGTCAAAAATAGGAGAAACGTTTTTTATGTATTCGGGGCTACTTCTATTAAGGGGACACTTTTCCGTGAAACGGTGCTATCTGACGACCCTCTAAAATTCATGGGTAGCAGCAATCCATGGGTTGACAACCGTAGAGACTGTAAAGTAAGGCCTGTGCCCAGGAATATATCCTCCTTTGAAAAATTAGGCCTAGAAATCCAACTGCACATTTTAGAAAAAGGGGCTGATTTCTGTGCAGATTTTGCCAAAAATTAGCCTTTTTTGACCAGGTAGCTCAGGCATGAAGAGACCCTTAGTTAGGGAAGAAGCAAGTACATGTACGAGTCACCTTTGAGACTTCTGTGAAAGCACAGTCTACATTATGTAAATCTAACTTCAATTAACATTTGATGATCGACATCTGAATATACAAATGCTAAGTTCAGTTTTGCACACCTATTTTCCTAGAGATTTTCAGTGAAAATTTCATCTAGTTTTTGAGTTGAGGTCTCATCTGTACAATTATTATACTTTACAGAATATGGCGTAGTTGAGGGGACTCAGCTATGCGTACTTTCATTTTAAGTAAATACCATTTTATACACATGCGCAGATCGATTCGCCAGCAGCGAGTCATCGCCAGCAGCGAGTCGCCAGCACCGAGATGTCACTGCAGCAAAACACTACTGTGGGGACCTGATGGCGACATGCACTTGGGTGACCCGATGGGGGCAGTAGACACAAAAACAAGGCAACGAAAATAATGGCTGGTGAATGTCCATTGAAAGTTGGGGATAAATTTGCAAGTTTTGCTGATGTTGAGAAGGAAATTCAGCAATTAGAAAAGCACCAATGGATCACCTATTATCGTCGCGATTCGCGGACAATTTTTGGAGCAAAAAAAAGGGGACTCAAAAGAGATATAGAGGTGAATGACAGACTCAAATTCTATGAAGCGAAATACGCTTGTCTTAAAGGTGGACGGATGTACAAGTCAACTGCACGCCGAAGGCCTAATCAAAGGTGAGGGTTACCTCTCTCTAGGCCTAGCTAGTCTAGGATAGGCGGCCTTGTTAAATAATTAATGTTTAAGTACAAAACTTGTACAAAATAACATCTATGAAATTGAGAAAATAATGTAGGTAGGCCTATGTTAAAACAGGAAATCTTGTTTGGAGGTTAATTCTATAACACTTAATTTTAATTTAAATATTAAAATAAAGTTTATTTGATTATTTAGTATTTCAGTGTTTTTTTATGCCGGCACTGGCAAATATGCCAACATCGATATAATGTCTGTCTATTTCTCTCTGATTGGCTAATGTAAATTATGACGTCATCAAACCAAGACCGCCACGAACAAAGGATCGGGAAAGAAACATGAAAAGCCAAAACACCATAGCTGTTGAATTATCTACAGGGTTATCTACGTGATATGACGGAAATACTCACGCGCAAACCTGTACCTATCGTACGTCGAGCATGTAAAATCCTGAAATTAACACACTCCGAAACGCAAGATGAATAAATTATGATGTCATCCGTTAACATTAAGGTTATTAAAACTACCTATTAATTCATGAAATACAGTAAAGAAGATTTGTTGTTAACGTTATACAAGTTAAATTTTATTAGTCAACAAAATACAGTAGGCCTATCTTTCCATTCGCAGGACCTAGCTTAGAATTTACACTAGACTAAGGCGAGAGATGAAGATTCATCTGCATACAGTAGCCTAGAAATATTATGTGAGTAACTGTAGACGTGCGCGATCTATGTCAATAACTGGAATATCTTTGTGATAGCTAATTCAACACTATTTCTTTGAAGACAAAAGTGTAATTACACTTTCTTTTCTTTTTTTATGAGAACACATTTTATAAGAACACTGAGGCTGAAATCTTTTTAAATTTAAGAACAAAATAAGAACAAATTGAGGCTGAGGTAAAATGTCCAATGAGATTTTTATTTTAAAAAACTAGAAAAACCAAAAAATATATCTGTACCTTATGTGCAGTAGGTGTGACTATGTAATACCCTCTATAATACAGTACAGGAGGTGTATACCCACTTGTCATTTGGGGAAGTTTTTTCCAGTGGCCTTTTTTTCCAGGCCAGTTTTTCCTGGGGCATTTTACCTACATTCCAGTATAGTGTATACTGGTACAATAATACATTTGTATGTTTGAAAAGTGTGTAACATAAGAACAAAATAAGAACATTTTGAGCCTGAAATTGGCCAAAAAATAAGAACACTGAGCCTGGGCAAAATTTTACTGGTTCTTTTTAAAAAAAAAGAAAAAAAGTTAGGCCTTACATATTGTTTTATAGGATTTGTAATTTTCCCTTCGGGTATGGTATATATTCGAACAGTACTATTTGAATGTCCAATTTTTGAACAATAATGGACACTTTTGTCCAGTGGCGGTGCTGCAGTGTTTGGGGTGGGGAACGGTGGCGGCTCGGGTGGACTGCAGCCCCCTGGCGCCGCCGCTGTTCTCATCAGAGGCTAATTACTAAATATCCATGAAGCATATCATTATTTTGAGCTGCTCTGTATTTTCACTCCTTTTCTGTTTAATTTTGTTATATATTTTTTCAATAAGCCTCCTTACAGTATATATTTATTAAAGTATAGGCCTACTTTGAAATGTTATTCAAATATTATAATACTGTATTAAGTACTGTACTGTCTGCCTTATACAATACAATACAACAAACCTACAAATCACTAGTTTCTTAATTCAATTTTTATTGCTACATAAAAGTCATGTAGGACTATTGTTTATACAATTGATACAATACAAAGGGAAAAAGACCATCATGATTTTAATAAATACAATAGTTTTGACGTATTACAGTAGATGATCCCTCCGACTATGAAAAACATGCATTGCATTATTATAAACAAACACCTATAGATGGCGCTGATCTTTTTTTTTCTTGACATTTCTTTCTTTTTCTCTGGGGAACAATGTTAAATAATAGTTATTTTTATTATACATTAACAGACCTCCTAAGTTCCCCGAAATTTTTTAAGGAGAATCTAGGCTTCCCAGAATTTTTTACAATTTTTCCCAGAAAAAATATTATTTTCATGTGAATATTAAAATGGCTCCTAAGTGTATATAAGTTCCTTACAATTTAAACAACTCCAAGCATTTGCATCACCACGTAAATTCAATAAAACCTGAAAATGACTTATTTTGTCTATTGTACAGTACATGCTTCCCACTTAAAAAAACTACTGTTTCTGTTAAATATTTGTAATGGCTTTTGGTAACGGCATGACACACGTTGAATTAACATGTCATATGTATAATTAATAAACCAAAAAAAGTACTCATATTTAATTACACTTCAATAAACGACAAATTACCCAGAAGCTTGCTGTTAAAAACACACAAGTGTGGGCAGGAACCTAACACTGACAGTAACAACACAACAATACTGGCGGTAGACAAAAGATGAACAACAATACTGTTAAAGATAGAATGAAACAAATTCAGAAAAAAGTGATACAAGCCATTGTTGATTCTATATTTCGAACTTTATTAGTTCATCTTCGGGAATAAATTATGTACACAATTAGACTTAATTATATACAGTTTCAAGGTACCAATTATGCAGAGAATAACCAATCAAATTGCAGAGATAAAACCAATCATATTAAAAGTCACAGCACTGGTTAAGAAATACTAATACTGTTTATGAATGCAAACAAAGAGACCAGGAAACTATAAACAATCGAAACAACAGCACCTAGCTGGGTTGTCCAGTGTTTGCGACAGCCCACGGTACAGATGATGGCTGAGAACTACACTTGATAAATAGCCCTAACAAACCTTTACTTTGTATCACTATTTGTGATTCCAACCGGCGTAGTGGATAGAAGTTTTTACCGGCAGTATGTACAGTTAAATAGTGCATGTAATGTCTCTGCTGGCATTTGCAAAACATACAATAATAATCATTCCTGAAGAACCACTGTTTCATTGGGAAAAGCAAGACAATTGCTGATGATACGCATTTGCCTGAATTGCTCAGTTTAGCTGAGTATCAGCTGCAAATGGGTTAATCAGCTAACTAAAGACAAGGCTAAAAAGAAAGATTATGTATTGTTTTTTTTTTTCCAGGTCTTTTCGTGAACAATGTGGATCCTTTGTTCAGTTTCGTGTTTCCAAAGATGGCCAGCATTTAGTAGTTGTTGATATGTCTGTTCATCATAACCACCCTCTGGATAAGGTATTTTTAAAATTGAACTAAGACCATACTGTAATGTTTTTTAATTATTGCACGGAGGATATCTAAAAAGTCAGGATAAATTTGCGTTGAAAATCGCTAGAAAAAATAGGCTTGAAGAATCGTAATTGCTGCGTAATTGCATTGGTTATATATTAAGATTTGGTCAAAGCCTAATTTTCAGCAAAATCTGCGCGAAATCGGCCTTTATTTTCCAAAATGCGCAGACAGATTTCTAGGCCAAATTTTTGCGTGGAGGATATGTTCCATGCGCAGGCCTTACTATACAGTCTAGAACTAGGTTAAGCCTATGTTATCGTACTGTAGACTCTTTACAGTACATCCCAAATAGGGCAAAACATCACTATTTCCCTACGCAAAATACAACGAAATAACATAGAGGGCATGATATATGTGATAATGATTTTTTTTTTCTCATGTGTTTTGATTTATATCTTTTTGATTTATATCTATAGTGTCATTTCAACAATCATATTTTATATTACAGGGTATGTTTCAGTCTTTACCAAAACAAAGAAGGTTAAATGAGGAAGAGTGGCAAAGTATGAAGTCCATTCTAGCCACAAAACCCACAAAGAGGAGTTTGCAGTTGCACATTAGGAAAAGCACTGGAAAAATGGTGACATTGCGTGATCTGACAAACCATTCGGGTAAGTTGAAAAAGGTGAAGTCAAATGATTCAACTGTTGCCGCACCAATACCCCCATCGTTTGTCGAGGAGAGTCTGATGGAACCTTCAGACATGTATAAACAAGCATTTTGTGAAGCCCAGAAGCTGGCCACTATGGCAAGTGAAGTGTCGGTGGCAAAATTCAAACAACGCCTCGCTGTGCTGTCTGATTTGGTGAACTTGTGGGAGATGGATGTAGAAGCAGCAGTGACTGGTATTTCAGATGAGGTAATGAACTTTGTTAATTTGTAAGATCTTCCTGTAATAATGGGTTTTTTTTTAGGCCTATTAGAGATATTCTCACTCTGGACAATCTGCATCTCTTCAACTGTTTTCTGTTTTGAGACATATGCCTACTGATGCCTAGCACTGCTTGTGTGATATATTGACAGTGCGCCTCACATAGTCATCAAGTATACACATCTAGATGTGTATAAGAGACAGCATACCCCCATTTTAAGACTCCCATATATGCCACTTCATTTAAAATAGAATTTGATAGCTTCATTATATGACTGACAGTAGAAACACTTTAACTTTATCACAATAAATATGTGGGAAGACAGCCAAACCAGTCACTCTTCGAAAAATTTGTGTTTCAGAGATAATGGCCAAAACATACTGGAATGCCAGCATTTTTGAAATCTATTTTATTGCACTAAACTAACCTTTATGTATCTATAAATCATGCCATGCAGTTATTTCCCCCATTTTCAATGTTAAAACAACAATTTTTAAGGATTTGGTGATGGTCTCTGCCTGAGAAATGCCCGAAATCATAAACTGTGAAGGCTGATTTCTCAAATATTGTTCTTGAAACAGCTCTTTGTTTGAATACTTGAAAGTTCATAAGGAAATGTTGGATTTAAATGATTCTTTTTCCATTTTATAGTTCTCATTTTACTGTTTAACCCTGTATTAATAACTGAAAATCGATTTTTGCGACCAGTGACTGGTTTGGCTTGTCTTTGCCACATATGGTAACACATGGTAACTTAACTTCATTTAATTTCTTTTTTTATGACAGAGCAACAAAGATGGTAGTGAACCTGTTCTGCAATCTCATAAGGAAAGTACTTGTGCCTCACCGACTGTTCCGTCTGTAACTGACTATACAGGAGAGGTAATGAAATTTCGTATAGATGTCCTGTACAGTATAAAGCAGCTCTCCCAATTAGATTTTTCCAACGAGTTTCAAAGAATTTAGTTGTTGATTTTGAAGAAAACTTGCAGGACAACTCAGAGCAGGCTGTACATGTTTGCTAGGTTTACTACAAAAAACGCTATGTAATTATAATATGCCTACTGTGGCTTAGGACACTTGGGTCTTGTTTCCAACTCATGCTTCTGCTTGTATCTAAAAATATCTAACTCATTACAAACTGAAGAAGCATATCTTTTAGATTTGTAAAGCTTGTAAACTAGTAATTGATTGAGATTATTCATAAATTGTAATTAACTTGAGTTGACTCATGTATACTAATTTACAGTTGTATAATACTCTAAGAAATTGCACAGATTTACCTAACTCATAATTAACGTTTATGAAACTTGTATGTAATGTCACCACAAATTTCACAAGTTTTTAATTTGTTGTAGCAACTGGTACAAATCAGGGATGTAAATAACCTATCGTGAGGTTCAGTTTTAATCTGAATTGAGTACTATAAGTTTGCTGTGTACTTCTGACACTTTAATTAATTGCCTTTGACAGGTTTCTGATTCACATTATACTGAATCATGTATCCCAGTCTGGAGTATTTGACAATACTACGACTTGTGAGCTTAATACACTAGAAGATTTAAAATTCAATATTGCTGTTGTGGAGGATATACCTGTATGATATTTCTTTAAAATATTGTTTACACTATAATCTTTTGTTTTTATATGTGTGAGTTGATAGGTACTCACTCTTTTTCATTTCTCCCAAAAGAAAAGAGCAAACAAAATGAAGCAAGCATGGAAATATTTAAATATATTTTACCGATAAACATCTCACAATAACATTCATTTACATTGACAAATACTTCAGTGACCAGTACTACATGACTTATCACTTCACATCAGTTCATACAAAAACATAATTTTGTATGAACTGATGCACTAAAATTCTCATTATTTAAATATATTTCTAAAGCTGGTTTTACACTGTAAATCGAATTTAATTAATGATCTGTAAGTCAAATTTTTTCTAAGTCACAGTTTTTCAATGTTATTTTGGATTTGACTTTAGGCAAGTTCAACTGTACGTTTTTTTACATCTATTCTTATTAATGATGAGTTTGTACAGGTCGTTTGATATATAGAATATTATTAGAATTGCAAAATATATCAAATAAGTGTGTATTCAAAATCTGCTTGTTAATTTAAAAAATATTCTGCGCTTTTTTCAGTGATCCTGCTGTCGGGAGATGATTGATTTAGTAATGTATATGAATCTTGAACGTACAGTGTTGTCACTCGTGATAAAGAAGGACGAAACCATCTGCAGTTAATGTAGGAATTCATCAATTGTCAATTGAGGACATTTCCATGAAGGCTGCACATATAAGCATGTTCACTAGCGAACAAAGTGGTGCTATTTTTTCCCAAAAGCCATGCCAGGTACGAGTTATCTCAATGGACATTCTTTGCATTACAATGTCATATCACACCCATATATGGAGAAATTACCGACCTTTGTCACATGAAACGTGATAGTGTGAATGGAGCATTAGTTGCAGATATTTGCCACATCGCCAATCAAGTGCTTGTTAACCTGATTTGGGCATCAGCATATTATTCAGTATAAAGAGGAGGAAGCTGGTGGTAGTTTATACGTTTATTGAATTGCAATAGAAGAGAGATCTATAAAGACTGCATGCGGTCAGAACATTCATTGGCAAACCGAGTGGTCTCCTATAAGCCATGCCGAGTAATCTCATATGACGTTTTGAATATATATGGGAAATATGATGTCATCACACCCATATATGGGCTAGTCATATGAAATGCAATTGTGTGAACACAGGCTTAGTTGCAGATCTTGCCACATTACCAGACAAGTTAATTGACTGATTCTGCTCCTGCACTAATTACAGCAGCAGCACTTAAAACATGTAGACCCAATGACCAGGGGCAAAAGCACTTCGTATCTGCAAAGAAAGGTGCTATATAAATAACCAAATAAAATAATAATTTATTTAAGAATACAAAAGACGTCTAAAAAGTGTTTGAAATACACTGTACTACTAACGACTATACTGTACTATACAAGGTGTATACTTCTGTATCAACTGGTTTTCTGAAACTTGTTCAAACAATAACATCAAACCATGCAGTAATCGTTATGTGCAGTTCGTTGCTACGTCGGACTGACATCATGACTGAGCGGCCTTAGGGGCTTCACAAAAAGTACTTGTAATAATATTTAGCAAATACATAACTAATGCGAGGATAATCAGTCTCAGTACTTAGTGCTCCATGTGTTAAGAAAAAAATGAAGGCTTTCACAACAGGCAATGGAATAGGGAAGTTTGGGTATTCCCTCCTTACCTTTATTTAAAATCAATATTTTATTTAATATAATAAATATTTTGCAAATATTATTATCTGGAAGACGATTGGAGAAACTCAATCGAAACGTTCTTTCCAGAACTATCTACGTGGTGTACCGCAAGCAATAATATATTATTACTTCGCCATGCAAACCTTTAAACAATAATAAATATATATTATAAAGTAATTTACTTGATCCTAGTTTGATTATATAAAAAGAGATGGAATAATGTAGATACACTTCAAAAAGCATTTGAAATATATTACATGAACTTCAGATGCAATTAACTGTTGTTCTAATAATATTGAAGTTTTTAAACCGTACAAAAATAATGGCTTGGATCAGCGATTGAAGATTTTTTTCGATGTGATAGCTACAGTATTCATACCTGTTAAAGCATATGTGCATTTTATGCGAGTCGTCGATTAATTTTAAAGCATATAGTATATAATTTGACACATAACAGTATTTAATAATATAAAATAAACATGACTATTGCCTGGTTTTCGTAAAATTTGCTACACGCTATTGCCAACTCCTTTGACGATGCTGATTGGTCAGTTAAACCAGGGAGCGTTCCCGATTTGGTTGGGGACAGCTACGCGAGTGCAAGGATTGCAGTGAAAACACTGTAGCGACTGTGTAGCGATTCTATGGAAACCAGGCTTATATTAACATTGTTAACTTATTGCAACTTGAATTCCAATTGTCAAATTATCTTGCCAACAGGTGAAATCCAAAAGTGAAATCTTTTGCTAAAGACAGAGGGCCTATAGGTAAAATATTCTGAAAAGTGCCAGTGCCAAAGATTCACCAACAGTGTTCTACACCGCTTCAGTCCCTTTGTTTAATAAGCACCTAGATGCCTGGAAATGGCACTCTCGGACTAAAAATGCTTGTTCAAAGCCGTCTTCCCCACACCCTCATTGGCTTTTCCATCAGGGATCTAGCATTGCCCAACTGGGTGACCCTCTGCCTCCCAGTCAACTCCTACGAAGCTTAACAGAGCACTAATAATAAAAATATAGATATGATGATGCTAGTGACTTTGTTTTGGTAATGTTGGAAAGCCTTTCTATTTTTTTTACTAAAGTATTCACAGCCAAGTATCTGTGAAATCGTGGAATATGGATTTATATGTAAAATATGTAAATACAAAGGATTTATTTTTTTTATTTTTACTTGTTTGTAGTCATGATGAAGTACACAAATTTAAAAAGATTATGTGTTTCAACCTATTTAAAAATATATACAGTTTGTGTAAAAGGAATAAAACATTTCATAATGTAGTAGTAAGTGTAAATGGTCTTTTAAATATATATGATAATTTACTGATACTACTTCTGATACTTATTCCTGATGATGACTTAATAAAACTTACCAAAGTCGACTTTGTTTAACTGGAATAATTTCTAAGTCGTCTTATTTTACATGACAAATTGTTGTATTCTCCATCCATTAATGAATTGATTAATGAAGTCGAACAATTTTTCAATTCCATTTTGGATTCAACTTGGGCAAGTTCAACTGTTCTAGTAATCAAACAGACATGGTTACCGTGCCAATCCAGTAATTATCAAAGGTGCAAATAATTAAATTCAAAACGTTCAGTTAATATGGCCTCACATTCTCTATTTTGAGTCACTTTTGTTTTATTTTATTTGAACGTAGTCTGAGCACTGTTTGGAT